TTCTTCCAACTGATCGAAGTAAATCAAATCCTGGGCACTAAAACGTAATCAGCCACTATAGTCCCTTGTTGAGAAGACCACCACTAAATAAGAGGGTCCTCTTCCTATGTATATTCCCTTCAATTCGTAGGGTCTTATATTTTCATTGCTTTGTAATAAACATGCACTCATTGAATTTCAATGTGGTGAACAATAGAAGGCGGTCCTAAATGCCGGTACTCCAGCAGTGAACGGGCCGCCATATGATGAAACTATGATTGAAGATAAGGGCCTGCATAAAGGTCTGGCAAACGGAGCCAAACAAAAATTTGCACAGATGATAACAGGCTCTTTGGGTCGTGCAAAAATTAGGTCTATTGACCGTTTTTTGACGATTTTTACTCTTTCCCATCCTCAATTCTCAGGTTTGCTCGGCTTTTCTCAATTATTTCTTATTTAGATAGTTACAATGACTGGTTATCAAATTTATCGTTACGATAGCATTACTCCCTATGTAGACGCTTATAAGAAGACACCCTCTGCCTCTCAAGGTTGGTTAAGAGAAGATGAATATGCAAAGAAGCAGCACAATAGTTCTTACGTCTAGCCAAGACTACCATATCTTTAAAGTAAACCTTCGTGCATTTTGGATCATTCTCTCTTTATGCTCTGTGCTCTCTGTACTCTCACCTTTCATCCAAAAATTAATCTGCTCCAAGTCCGGTCACTCCTCTTCCCACTAATCAAACCATTTCTGACTAGACGAGGAGTTCATGTGAGACTTCTTGCTGACGGATAGTATTTTAGAACACGTCCTTTATAAAGCTACCTGTTTATAGGAATGTGCCACTTACCAATCAAGGTTTACATTGCCATTGCTATCCTGGGTATGATTGCGGGGTACAGTGCGGCTCTATGCTTTGGGATACAATATCATGTAATATTTGTGAAAATTATCAAGATACTTGTTAGTAATAAACTTTATTTTAGAATTTTTCCGCCACCACGATGGCATTCATTTCGGGTGTAGCTGCAACGGTGCTACTTTATATGCATCTTGCATTCAAAAAAGGAAAGATGATTGACTGGCCAAGGGCTCGCTTCACATGTTATCTTTGGGCAGGTGAGAACATGGTTTCGATGATAAGGAACTTAAGAGATCGTAAAAGCGCATTTTTCCTGAAAATGAGACAAAAACCAGTGCATTTGCTAGCTGCAGCAGTTCCCTACGGAGATATTAGAGCAGCTAACTAACGGCTTGAATATGTTTCATTTTC